GTTCGTCCGCCTGCTTCCCAGGCGCAGTCCGAACTTAACTATGCTGTTTATTGCTCCTTCACTCTGGACACGGGCGCCGCCTTCAAGAAGAACACACCAGAATCGCCCGAGGTTGCCTTGTGGGCGCCTGGCGCGCAAGCTGGCGCAGCGCCCGCCCGAAGAGGCGCCCCCGGGCTCTCCCTCCCTTGTGCCGGCTGCCGCTTCCAAGAACAAACAACGGCAAAACGGAACCGGTGAAACAACGGCCCTGTCGCCTCCAAGGCTCACTAAATTCCAGCAGGTGAGCACAAGAGGACGCCTCGTGCGCTGGCTGGCGTTCCAGTATGCGCATACGGATTGCAACCACATGGCTAGCAACACGTAGATTGCAACACAGAGCTTGCAACAGATATATTGTATGTGACATGTTGCGCCACACGGACCCCGCTTTCAAGAACAGCCGGCACACCCCCGAGCCTGGATATCACGGACCGCCCTGGAACGCAACACGTTGCATATGTTTCTGCCTCGTCGTTAATGCTTCACCTGAACTAATAACATCCCAAGCAAACCGAATATTGACACCCGTACTCATCCCTGTCATATGATACCATGCGCGAGTACCAAATCATCGAATGCATCGTTACAACAACATGTTGAAATTTGCCTGGCGAAGGACCCATCCATATGCAGTTGTGATTATCGCAAACGCGCTTGCATTCTTCAATGGCGCTCCCTATCGGGCCACGAACCGCATGAGGGGCGTGCCGAATTGCGCGGCGGGGTCCACAACACGAACGAGTACGACTGGTCGAATTACGAGAGACTGAGCGCGGGTGAGTCTGAGCGCGAGTGAGTCTGAGTGTGAATGAGTCCGCGCGCGATTGAGTATATGCGCATGAATGCGAACATGGCCACGCCTGGTGTACATGTATATGATTGTAAATGGTTCACGTATGCCTGTGGCCGCCGCAGGAAGCTTCCCCGGGACCCCCGACGGCAGCGCTCGCACGCCGCGACGCTCATGTCGGCACGCTCATCACGAGGATCGCGCCCGCTTCCTTCCCATTATTTTTCTCCCTCTTTGCCCGTGCGCGCCGATGTCCATGGCTGCGGGCGCGGCGCCGCACGGAGTCCCCGCGACGCACGCCGGTCGCCCTAAGGGGCCACGAAACGTGTAAGGGGTGTGCCGAAATGGGTGCGATGCCCGCATGCGAACGCAGCCACAAGGGCCTTCGGTGGAGCTCCTTATGGGGCCACGGCGGCCACGAAACGTGTGAGGGGTGTGCCGAAATCGACGCGGTGCCCGAATGCGAACGCAGCCACTGGGGCCTTCGGTGGAGCTCCGAATGGGGCCACGAAACGTGTGAGGGGTGTGCCGAAATGGGTGCGGTGCCCGCATGCGAACGCAGCCACTGGGACCTTCGGTGGAGCTCCCAATGGGACCACGAAGCGTGTGAGGGGTGTGCCGAAATGGGTGCGGTGCAACGTGTGAAGGGTATGCCGACATCGGCACGGTGGGCGCATGCGAGCGCAGCCACTGGGGCCCTCGCTGGAGCTCCCTGCGGGCTCACGAAGCGTGTGAGGGAGCCTACGGTGGAGCTCCCTGTGGGGTCACGAAACGTGTGAGGGGGTGTGCCGAAATGGGTGCGGTGCCTGCGTGCGAAGGCAGCCATTGGGACCTTCGGTGGGGCTCCTGATGGGACCACGAAGCGTGTGAGGGGTGTGCCGGCATGGGTGCGGGGCCCGCATGCGAACGCAGCCACTGGGACCTTCGGTGAAGCTCCCTATGGGGCCACGAAACGTGTGAGGGGTGTAACGAAATTGGCGCGGTGCCCGAAAGCGAAAGCAGCCACTGGGACCTTCGGCGGAGTTCCCTATGGGGCCACGAAACGTGTGAGGGGTGTGCCGAAATGGGTGCGGTGCCCGCATGCGAACGCAGCCACTGGGGCCTTCGGCGGAGCTCCCTAAGGGGCCACGAAACGTGTGAGGGGTGCGCCGAAATCTATGCGGTGCCCGCATGCGAACGCAGCCACTGGGGCCTTCGGCGGAGCTCCGTATGGGGCCACGAAACGTGTGAGGGGGTGTGCCGAAATGGGTGCGGTGCCCGCATGCGAACGCAGCCACTGGGACCTTCGGTGGAACTCCCAATGGGACCACGAAGCGTGGGAGGGGTGTGCCGAAATTGGTGCGGTGCCCGCATGCGAACGCAGCCACTGGGGCCTTCGGCGGAGCTCCGTAAGAAGCCACGAAACGTATGAGGGGTGTAACGAAATGAGCGCGGTGCCCGCATGCAAACGCAGCCACTGCGGCCTTCGGCGGAGCTCCCTATGGGGCCACGAAACGTGTGAGGGGTGTGCCGACATGGGTGCGGGGCCCGCATGCAAACGCAGCCACTGGGGCCCTCGCTGGAGCTCCCTGCGGGACCACGAAACGTGTGAGAGGTGTGCCGACATGGGTGCGGTGCCCGCATGCGAACGCAGTCACTGGGGCCTTCGGCGGAGCTCCCTAAGGGGCCACGAACCGTGTGAGGGGTGTGCCGAAATCGACGCGGTGCCCGCATGCGAACGCAGCCACTGCCACTGGGGCCTTCGGCGGAGCTCCCTATGGGGCCACGAAACGTGTGATGGGGGCGTGCCGAAATGGGTGCGGTGCCCGCATGCGAACGCAGCCACTGGGACTGGAGCTCCTAATGGGGCCACGAAACGTGGGAGGGGTGTGCCAACATCGATGCGGTGCCCGCATGCGAACGCAACCACTGGGGCCTTTGGCGGAACTCCGTATGGGGCCACGAAACGTGTGAGAGGTGTGCCGGAATGGGTGCGGTGCCCGCGTGCAAACGCAGCCACTGGGATCTTCGGTGGAGCTCCCTATGGGACCACGAAACGTGCGAGGGGTGTGCCGAAATGGGCGCGGTGCCCGCGTGCGAACGCAGCCGCTGGGACCTTCGGTGGAGCTCCCTATGGGGCCACGCAGCGTGTAAGGGGTCGTATGATGATGATGATGATGACTGCGATGATGATGATGATGATGATGATGATGAGGATGATGATGATGCTGATGATGATGATGTGATGGTTGTGATGGTGATGGTGATGACGATGGTGCTGATGCTAATGATGCCGATGATGGTGATGATGATGGTGGGAGGAGGGTGGAGGGGAGGGAGGAGGGGGAAGGACAGGAGAGGAACGCGGGGCACCGTCTCTTCAAAACGAGGACCCAACACCACACGATGGTTGGGAACAAACAGTGCACATCATAATCACCAGAAGCTACACACAATGCACGCGCGCGCACCTGTCAAACTCAGATCAAGCACATGCGCTGAGCAAGCATGCCAACATACAAACATCCCAAGCCGCAAGTTCCCATCTGCAGTAGTGCTACTGTTCTGCCCGCGCGTACATGCTGAAATCATGGACAAACATATGATGACTTTCGTCCAGAACCCGCACTCTCATCTCACCACGCGATTCATCTGCGCTGATCTACCATTCGCGCGGTGCACGGCACCGTGTCTAATGATACCATGCAGACCTCAAGCATGTGCCGCCACGCGCACGACTCGGCAGCGTTTTACAACCATTGGCTTCCGAAGCGTTTCAAAAGAGAACTCAGTCGAAGAATATGAACACCAAATGCTTGTCAACGAAAGGATTGCCAAGGTTCTCGGATTTCTGCGCATGCCCACTTCGCCATCACCCTCATCAACGCAATCGCGTCACCGCCTTGATCGCCATCGTCCACCGCCGACATATCAGCCATCATCAACACGTCACCTCCATCACCACTCTGCGCGCGAGCTTGCGCGCGCCAACGCGGCCGCAAAGATGCGCCAACCATTGCCCAGCACATCCGCAATCGTGGTCGCATGGCTTCGGCAAAACACTTTGTGGGTGGAAGGGTAAGATGTTTGCGCCAGCAACGGAATTGACGAGTCACCGCTTACAACCATCAATCGCACCACATCGCTTGCACCCCACAACTTGCACAACCTGTATTCCATTGCGTGGATTACACCCCAACAATTACACACCCTCCACCGTGCTTGCACGGAATAGGCGCGCTAGAACCTGGGAAGGCACGGAAACGGAGGGCTTTCTAATCGCCTAGTGCTCCTGGGAGCTTTAGCGTCGAGGCCGCGTCCATCATTGCAGGGTGTCCTGGGGCCCTCTTGGGCCGTTCTGGGGCCCACTCGGGCCGTCCTGGGGGGATTGGCCCGTCTCGGGGCCCTCTTGGGATCCTCTTCGGGCCGCTATGCAGCCCAACATCTCCAAGACCATGTCGGACCTCGTGTGTCCAATTTTGGGGGCCGATTGAGCCTTCTATCGGAATTACCTCCCCACACTTGCCTGCAGAGGTCCTACAACATGTTTCCCAAGCTGGGTGTGAACTCATCCGTCTCCAGAATCAGTTGTAGCCATGTTGGCGTCCTGTGTGGTCTGCCGTGGTGGTCCCCCCCTATGGTCTCAAGCATGGCGCATAGGCTCCCGTATGCTCTCCAATTGGGCCTCCCATATGGTGCCCCTGATGGTTTCTCGTATGGTCTACCTTGTGGTCTCTGGTATGGTGTCCCGGATGGTCTCCCTTACGGTGTTCAAGATGGTCTCCCTTTAGCGATGTCTGGGATACTCTTTGCACTACTCTTCACCATCCTCGTTTCTCTCTGTGTGTCTCGTGCTCGCTATGACACTCTGATTCGTATTCTAAAGATCTGCATGTAATATTCTGGTGAACATGGTACCTTCGGGCTCGGACTCGTGCCGTGGTTTGCCTCCTGCGGGGCCATCTTGGACTTCGCTCGGGATGCATTCAGACCCCATGGTGGGCATGTTCGGCCCGTCCGACGGCCGGCGGAGAACGCGAAGCGTCTGAAGAACAGCAACTCAGGAATTCCTCGTGCGGATCTCGAGCTGGCCGTAAACATTACATACAGAAAACACACGCGCCCGAACAAGGATGGCTTGTTACGTTCTCCGAGGCCTACTCCTAACGACGACTGGCTACCTGGAGCCGTCCTAGGCGCTGAACCGCCCGTGCAGCCGCATCAGTTCCTCCTCCTCGGCCTCGTCCATGACCACGTCGAAGTCTTGACCAAACGCTGCCATGGACTGCAGCCACATGCCGAGCAGGACCAACTCTGCGCTGAGGTTATCGATGGTGGGCTCCTCGACCAACTTGACAGTTTTGCAGCAGGGCGCCGCCGCGGACTCATGGTGCGATTGGCTCCACAACGCGTCAATGATCGCATCACGCTCCACCACGGAATCCCCTATGGATATCACGTTTTTCCATGGAGAAGACTTGCCGTACAGCTTCCTTAGCAACTTCACCATGGCAGCGCGCTTCGCAATAGTCATGAGATTTACGCCATCCTGAAACATGATCTCGGCTTTCGCCTTCACGGACGTCCGAAGAAGCTCTTGCGCGTAAATGATGGGGATCCCCAACTCTTCAAGCAGCCGGTCCAAGTGCAGGTCGGGCAAGTACCTTGGCCGCCACAAAATATGCATTGCAACCAGGGCTGACCACGTCCGTCCCTGGCCAGACCTCCTCGCAGAGGCCAGGAGGAGGAGGAGAAGGAGGAAGGGAAGAGGCAGAGAGACTTGTCGTATTTTCTAGGGGGGAATCTAAACTAATGAGGAAGGCTTCACGAAAACGGGTCTGTCAGTGGCGATACTACTCATGGGGCTGGATGTGCCTGCGGTTTCCAGGAAGGAAAGCTGATGCGTGGAATATGAAATGGGGAGACCGAAAGGTACCCATACCGCTACTCCCTGGACCTCTCCGGGGGGTGTGTTCTGACAAGAACTTCGAGGCGAATCCAACAATGGCGACGAGGGCCTCCGAGGCGGCCCATAAAAAGGGGAAACAGGGCGGACTGTAGCGGTGTGAATACCTGTTCCTCCTCCGAAATGAGGGAGGGAAGGAGCCGTAGGGGGAGGAGACAGGGAGGGGGGATGAGAAGACGGACGAGGAGGAGTGGCCTGCGGTGCGCCGCTTGCCGACCGCTCCGATGCAAATGCAGCGGCTTGTGTGTGTGTGTGCGTGTGCGAGTGCGTGTGCGTGTGTGTGTGTGTGTGTGTGATTGCGTGTGCGTGTGCGTGTGCGTGTGTGTGCGTGTGCGTGTGTGTGTTTGTGCGTGTGCGTGTGCGTGTGCGTGTGCGTGTGCGTGTGCATGTGCGTGTGCGTGTGCGCGTGCGCGTACGCGTGCGCGTGCGCGTGCGCGTGCGCGTGCGCGTGCGCGTGCGCGTGCGCGTGCGCGTTGTGTTGTGTTGTGTTGTGCTGTGCTGTGCTGTGCTGTGCTGTGTTGTGCTGTGCTGTGCTGTGCTGTGCTGTGCTGTGCTGTGCTGTGCTGTGCTGTGTTGTGTTGTGTTGTGTTGTGTTGTGTTGTGTTGTGTTGTGTTGTGTTTGTGTTGTGTTGTGTTGTGTTGTGTTGTGTTGTGTTGTGTTGTGTTGTGGTGTGTGTGTGTGTGCGCGTGCGCGTGCGCGTGCACGCGCGCGCGTGCGTGCGTGTGCGTGTGTATGTTGGGGTCTGGCTCCCCCCCACCCGCCCCGCGACACCCCCCCCGCCGCCCAGTCCCGCGACAGCCGAGCACGGAACCGCACTCCGAAGAAAGGTCGCTGTCGCATGCCGCCGAAACGAACGTTTTTCTACCAAGCGTTCCGACATTGGGCGGACGGGGGGCTAGCTCTGGACCGTAGCTTAATGCCTCTGTTGGAAAAAGTGTCCTATGGTGGAGGAGAGTCCACCTGCTCGAAACAGGCGCCAGAAACAGCCAAGATCCACTCCTCCATAATAGGGGACAGGGGGCGTGCGAGAGCCCTCGCCGATCCGCAAAACGATGAATAAGAAAACGATCACCAGTCTGGGGGGGGGGCGCAAGGGCTGCTTGGAGTGGCGGCACTCACGGGGAGGAGGAGGAGGAGGAAGAGGAGGAGGAGGAGGAGCAGGAGGAGGAGGATGAGGAGAAGGAGGAGAAGGAGGGGGGGGCCTTCTGAGAAGGCAAGGGGGGGAGGGGCTTCTGAGAGAAGGCAGCGGGCCTCCTTGGAAGCGCCGGGAGGCTTGTGCGAGCAGCTCTCTGAGAAACCCCCGGCCGATCCTCGGAAGGGCCCTCAAAGACGCCCCCCACCCTAAGAGGGCAGAAAATCCGCCCTCACAGTCATCGCCCCAACGCACGAAGAGCCCCCCGCCCCTTCGAGGGTAGAAAAAACACCGTCATAAGAATCACCCCGACGCGCGAAGCCCCCCCACCCCCTCGAAGGCACAGAGGCCACCCTCATAAGAAGCACCCCGACGCGCGAAGCCCCCCCCGCCCCTTCGGGGGCAGAACAGCCACCATCATAATCAGCAACCCGACGAGCGAAGAGCCCCCCGCCCCTTCGAGGGCCCAAAGTCCGCCCTTACAAGAACCGCCCCGACACGCGAAATCGTTTTTTGTGAACGCACCCACAAAAAGGAGACTCGAACAGGACAGGGCTGGTCCGCAAACGCCCAAGGCCGTTCAGCGAGCGCCAATTACGTAGCGGGTGCGAGTGGTTTTTCCTGCCTTGAAAGCCTGTCTGAGACGCGCCAGCCAGGGCCAGTGCGAAAACCCGGGCCAGTCAGGCCTTGCAGGATATCCTGCAGCATTCTCTGCCCTCCAACCTGGGTCAATGCAACCCTGGCCCTGCAGGATCCTGCAAGATCCGTCTTGCATCCCCCGAGGCCAGACGGAGACGCACCGGCCAGGGTCGGTGCAAACCCGTGTCCGTCTGGCCCTGCAGGATATCCTGCAGCATCCTGCACTCTGGCCTGGGTCTATGCAGCCCTGGTCCTGCAGGTCCCTGCAAGATCCAGTGCACTCCAGACGCCGGGAAAAACAAATAAACAGGTTGCCGCGATCTTTTCGCACGGCACGCCCTGATCATTGGATACTGGAATTTTCCAGTCGCGACCGACGAGAACGGTCGTTGACGATTCTGCGTCATATCTTGGTATCGGTCGCTACCACTCGGTCGCGATCGGTGGCGACCCGTCGCGACCGCTCCTGAGACTGGTTGCGTTTGGTCGCGGCCGATTTGGAGTGCAAATCGGTCGCTGCCGACCGCGACTGGGTAAAAATCGGTATCCAACGGTCTGGGGACTGAGTACCCTCTGCGCGTGACCGAGAAAGGCTCCCACGACGTGCAGCCGAACGCGGAGGAGGAGAGATAGGAGGAGGAGGCGGCGGAGGAGGCGGAGGACGAGCAAGCAAGCAAGCAAGGAAGCACTCAAAACCTTGGCAGCCGTAGTCCTCCGCTGTCTGGCCCACCTCTGACGGGTGAGAGTTCTAGCCACGACCACTGCAACACTCGGGCAAGCCTGCGGGACCTTATAGACCAACTCGGACTTTCAAAGCCCAGAGTAGAAACAGTCGTGCCACCACATCTAACCACGTTCAAGTTTGCCGTGCGTGCGCCTCCGTGCTGTTAAGTCCTCTCCACTCTCCTCCCCAAACCCCCCTTCACTCGTCTCGCCACCACCCATCTTCCATTACAGACTGGTGTAGTCGACGGGCTTGGAACATATATCACCATAGCGAATTGCCATGCGATTCGCTGTGGATTTAATGATCAGGCTGCAGGGGCAACACAAAAAAACGCCGGGGTTGTTGCTAATCGCGCCACGCCTGGGCGCGATTAGCGGAAGCGCGTCGGCTTCAGCCAGCGCACATTACAGGCTGCGACTTCCCCAAATCTCACGCGAAGGTTAAGCCATCGTTCTCGGACGTCTCGATACTTAATGGCAATCGTAATCCATTAATAGACCATGATTTATACAGTCTGTTCCATTCTCCACTCGCACTAGTACCAATCATTCGGTTCGCTGGCGTTTGAGGTCGAAAAAGAAGCTGCTTAGCACGTTCGCTCCATGCATCGGCCATCCTCCCGAATCCTCCTACATCGACTGTTCCTGCACCGACATCTCGAGCGCCCCTGGTGGAAGGCCCCCGATCTATACGACGCCGCCAATTGCCACGAACCCCTTGGTAATCTGCAACCTCAACTCCGCGATGGTCGCCCTTTGCACCTCGCTCTAGTCGCCTGTCTTATCCTTGTAGCGCTGTAGCAGCATCGGTCTCGTGAGCGGGCTGATGGTGAACCGGCTCATCATGAGTTGCAACTTCCCTTGGTATACATTATGGTTGTCGTCGTTGACCGTCGTCTTGATGCGAAAGTAGCGCACCAAATCGTTTATCTCGTTTAGGTCCATTACCGTCGTCAACTTTGCGAATGACTCTATGGCCGCCTTGGTATCAAGCCCTGCATCTTCACGAACGTGGGGAAATACACCCGAAAACGTGCAGGTGCGGGGAGCCGAGATCTTTCTTGCCTTCCTCGGTGCTCAGACGGTGGTACTCATGGCCCATCATCAGTCCGTCCCTCGGTAATGCGTGCACCAACGCTAGCAGTAATTAGGCAATCCCACAGCGCCCCCATCAGGATTCTCAATACTTAAATGTTGCTCACCGTGAGCTTCTGCAGCGTGAGGAGGAGGAGATGGAGGCGGAGGAGGAGGAGGAGGAGGAGGGGAAGGAGGAGGAGGAGAAGGAGGACGCGAGGGGGGTTTGCCATGTGCGAGCCGCCGGGTGGATCTGCCTGCGCGGTGGCCCGAGCCTTCTGAGAGGGCACCTCGACGCCGAGCTCAGCACCCACGGCCGCAACGACAACGTCACGATCCTCGGGGGGCCCGACCCGCCGGGCAACGACGGCGGGTCAAGCCTCGCCTCCGCCTCCCTCTTCGCCGCCTCCTCCCTCATCCCTCCTCCGCCTCCTGCTCCTCCTCCTCCTCCTCCTCTTCCTCCTCTTCCTCCTCCTCCTCTTCCTCCTTCTCCTCCTCCTCCTCCTGCCCCGTGCGAGCACGATGCCTGTCCAAATCTCTGGCGTCTTGGAGGCTCGCGGGACGGACGCCCAGAATACGAGGCGCACTGGATGTGGGCAGAAGCCAGGTCTCGCCAGCGGCCAAGCTTCATCATGTTCACTACGACCCGGGTTGCTGAGGAAGGGAGTCCGAAAAATCCGCCGACCATGTCGGCTTGAGTGTGAGAGGCCTTTCCGTCCTCGTCGTCGTCGCCGTCGTCGTCGTCATTGTTATCGTCGTCACCGCTCTCCCCCATCCACGTCCAGGGCCCGCCTCTTCAAACATCCCTGCCAAAGAGAAATCAATCAACGTCGTAATCGAGAAGCCCCTTCCCATTTGATCCCTTCCCCGCCGGGGGTGGAGGGCGAACGCGGGGAAGTGGCGAGGGGGGGGTCCAGAGAGGGGGATAGGTGGGGGTGGCCTGGCGTTGTGACCACCCCCAGGGGGGGTACCCTTCCCTGGGAGAAGCCTTCCACTTCGATTCCTTGTCTCCCAGACGCC